CCGCCCCTAAACTTAACCATCACAGAAATCGTACAAAATCATACGAGTGAGGTCGTACGAATTAGCCACCTCGTAAAATATGTACAAATTAACCGTAAGACAGTGTTGACATCACCAACATAACTGCAAAAATTATGAAAAATAACCGATTCTGAAATTACACATCATAACTGTGCATTTATCAAAGCAAACCATAAGAATCATGTGTTTGTGAATCTGGTCACACTGTCTGGTACGTTTTTTTTTTTTACTTTTGAATGCAACCAGTAAAGACAACACATTATTTTGCACTGCAAATTCAACAATAGTGGAATCTGTTAAAATATTTAAAATTACACACTTAACCTTAAATGGTATTTAAGAAAAGCTTTAGCTGTAAATTGAGCAGTCAAATGTGTATTCACATAAACCTGCTTCCATTTTAAAAATTGGTCTCTCTTCTCATTAACACTACATTTAAAAAAATCGGGGTCAGTAAAATTGTTTAATACTTTTAATGGAAGTCTACTATGCGCTAAGGCTTTATTTGATCAAATGGACAGAAAAAAACAGTGATATTGTAAAATAACTTTTCTATTTTAACATATTTTCAAATGTAATTTATTCATGTGACAGCAAAGTCTTCAGTGTCAAATGATCCTTCAAAAATCATTCTAATATGCTGATCTGGTGCTCAAGAAGCATTTCTTACTATTATCAATGCTGGAAACAGTTGTGCTGCTTAATATTTTTGTCAAAACCATGAAAATTTTTATAGAAAGTTGAAAACAACAGCATTTATTATATAGGCTACTAATCTTTTGCAACATTATAAATGTCTTGACTGTAATCATGTTGCTGAACAAAAGTATTCATAAAAGTATTCATTTCTTTCAATATTATCTATATTATACAACATGCCTGCTATTTCATGCCTCCAAATGTATTTCTAACAATCTGGTGAACTATTTGCACAGCATGTCCAAGGGATTATGCTCCGTATCATTGGCATCAAATTGATTTCAGATAGTCAGTCTTTCATCTCTTTGCCAACAGAACAACATTAGGAGAATTTTACGACATGCAACGTGGTCTCTTTAAAGCGGAGCTATTCTGGTCACGCTGCACGCAGGCTTCTGCTTCTTTCTCTTTGTGAGCTGCACAGCTGGTAGTGGAATGAGAATAAACTGATGTTGTATAATCTACGGCATAAGTAAAAAACCCAATAAGAGGCCTGTTGGCAGTGGCTGAACACCAGATTTATAGATTGACAGTGATGCTTGCAACTTAGTGGAGTGGGAGGCAAAGCTAAGGGTTTTCCATCTTCTAATGAACCATGTCATTTGAGACAACCTAATAAGCATAGTGCAGAGTCTATAAATTCAAAGCCTGCACAGGGCAAATCAGATTTCACTCCTCTGTCAGCCCTGGCATCCTAAGCCTCAACAAACGTCCATCACAGGGCTAGAACGGCAGCATTGCTTTCAGTTTAATTAAGGAGCAGATAAATGTAATATTACTTTATTAAAATATTCACAATATCTGTCATGAACAATAACATTAAATGTACCAACAGCAGAAGCCAATTAGGCTTAGGAACTGCATACATTTGTAGGCTCCAGCAGCTGCATTTTTTCCCACTTAAAGAAAAGTCCAAATTCCCCACTCTAAATGTTCTCTCTAACAAGTTTCCCACTCTAAATGTTCAATAATTTCCACAGACCTGTAACTCGACTTCTACCCATCTTTTCAGTGTCAGACTAAATAAATTTCAGCTGTTCTGCTTCACGAAAGCGTGGATGCACCTGGGCTGCAGACAATTGTCATGGGTCATTGGAGGATGTGTGTGAAAACACTAGGAACATCAGCAGGTATGTGGCTTACAGCTGAATTACTTTTGCAACATTTAGGACACAAACAAAATGTTGGATATTAAAATATTCAGACAAAAACAATGGTATGATCCACACATAATACACTACTATATATTTTAAGCTACAAATCATGCTTTCACTTGCCTTCCACTGTGTTTTCTAATAATCAACCGTCACACCAAAAGAATGGCAAATGTGGGTCATCTCAGGTGCCAACCAAACACACATTTGCTTTGCAAAGTTAATGCATAAGGTTGATGGAACTTTGACTGCATGGTCATGATGCAAAATATGTAGACTCCATATTGAACTGTCAAAAACTCAGTCTGGAATCAGGATCAACTAGAGGCAATCTTTAGAATGCTATAACATTCATAAACTCAAGACAAGAAAGGGCAAGACAAAACCTGCTGGCAGACCAGTCAGCATTCATAGATTTCACTTCAGCTGAAGTCTATTATTTGTCTAATAATCTCTTACCTGCCTTACACACTGAGCACTATGATGAGTATAAATGTGTAAGCCGATTATAAACAAAAGCAGATTGGTGAGTAAAATCGGATCAGTGTAAGAGTTTGATCAAATGTACTAAATACCCTGCTTAGTGCTGACTTACTGTATCTCTTCATTCAATCTGTGACAATAACATTGCTACAGTTTGTTTTCTATAGTTTGTTATATAAAGGGACAGTTCACCCAAAAATAAAAACTCATAATTTACTCGCCCTCATGCTGTTATACATTTTGAAGAATATCTTTTTTTGAGCAATGACCATGAATTTTGCATAAAGATGTCAAGCCTCAACCAGAATGCATTAAGAAGTATAAAAGGTGCCCTCAAGACTCATGCACTATATTCCACGTCTTCTGGAATCAGATGATAAAAATTATATGAGGGACAGAACGAAATTTAAATTATGATTCATTGAAAATCTTTAGTAAGTAAGATTTTCTTTCTTAAGAGAAGTAACAATGTACAATTCGTGAACAAACGATTCACTGAGACTGAGAATATTCTGAAAACATAAAATGTATTGTCTCTATATATAATCTACACCTTTAAAGGGGTCATATGATGTTGCTTAAAAGAACATTATTTTTGTATTTGGTGTAATGTAATGCGTTTATGCGGTTTAAGGTTAAAAAAACACATTTTCCACATACTGTACATTATACTTATACTTATAATTGTCTTTTTATGCGTTGCGTATCGCGCCGCGTAAACCATTTGTCTGCATTTGTGATCGTCTCAACAAACGTCCATCACAGGGCTAGAACGGCAGCATTGCTTTCAGTTTAATTAACTCTCCACTTCATGGACTTATGATTAATATTTCCTCATCCATAATGCAAAAACTGGGCTCAATGCTAAATATGACAGCATCATTTGCGCTGGGAACGGAGAGTGGCATGTTTATTCATTTATTTTAAAGGTGCCACTATATGTAAACGCTGACTTTCATGCCATTTGCTTAGATGGGATTCCATTAGGCCTATATATTTGTGTATTATTTATTTTGAGTGCAAATTATCAGATTATTCCATAACAAAAGCAAGCATGCAGATGTTCACAACCCTCCGGGATTATTTATTATATATCTATATATAATCTACACCTTTAAAGGGGTCATATGATGTTGCTTAAAAGAACATTATTTTTGTATTTGGTGTAATGTAATGCGTTTATGCGGTTTAAGGTTAAAAAAACACATTTTCCACATACTGTACATTATACTTATACTTATAATTGTCTTTTTATGCGTTGCGTATCGCGCCGCGTAAACCATTTGTCTGCATTTGTGATCGGAGAAACGACAAACAACAAGTGCTACTCTACACTGCTCAAAACTCGTGCTTGAATCATCAGTGGCAAATTCTTTAAATATGAAAACATACTTACAGGTTGTGAGTCAGAACAGCCGGCATTGAAAGGTTCAGGAAACACACACGAATATTTGGTTTGAACTGTTCTGGAACAGTGTTGTAAATACAACTTAACCACTGATTTCTAGTTGTGGCCTCTTTTGGAAGGCCAAACAAAGTAGTTTCGCTTTCACAACGAAACACACAGTGTCTCCACGACATGGCAGCGGCGGCAACAATACAGCGAGAATCAAAGTTACGCCTTCTTTCTTTGCGTATACATTTGGGCCGTGTTATGCAAATCTTCCCACACAGTGACTAGACATGTGGGGGCATGTTTAAACAAGGCGTTTTAGGAGGGTGTGGGCGAGTCTTAACTTTTATAAAGAATCTCTCTTTGGGTTTGAGACTTTAGTCTTTGCAACTTTAGGGATCTTATCTATGCACGAACAGCTTGTAACACTCCAAAGAGAAAGGAAAACTTGAAATCGCATCATATGACCCCTTTAAATCAAAATCCATTGTTTTGATTGTCAATCACAATGCTTCATGGGAATGTAGTTCCTTCCATCATTAAAGCTGTTCAGTATACAGTCTTGTGCTTTTGTCTTTTGTCCAATTTTCAAATATGTTTTTGCTTCAAATCAATGTTTGTAATATTGTGATTTACCACGTAGCTACTTGGTTTGGTTGATGGTATAAAAGTAAAACTCTTTAACAATGACTTTAAAAAAAACCCTATGAGAAAAAAAGAATGAGAAAAATACTTTCAGAACCAAGGACACTGAAAAAGTGCACTCTTGCACTCTATTATGGTTTAATGGAGGTGAAGATTATAAGTAAAAAATCAGTCTATACACCACACAAACCTATCATACGGCTTCAGTAGACATGAATAATAATGCATGAATAGTCTGGACTACTTTAATTATACTTATACATGAAGAAACATATAAGGAGTCAAACAAGTCTGGAATTACATGAGGGGGACTACAGAATGAAATTTTCATTTGTGAGTGAACTATTACGTCAAATAAGTTGATCGTGTAATGCAAATTCGGTCGTCTTTTAGCACTCACTCTCATTCATACTGTCTTGTGTTGTGAAGACAACAGCAGCAGACTGTCTCAAACCCTAATGAGCTGCCTACCTAAACAGCATTTCTGTACATCATAAGCGCGTTCCAATCGATTCTATAAAGAATCGAACGTGCATGGTGTCCAAAAAGGCTTTCTAGGGTAGACAGGCAGCTCTCTGATGTTTGAGACACAACCGCAGTCTTACCCAGCTTTGCCCGAGACTCTTCCAGCTTCTGAATCTGGTTCTCAATAAACAGCATCGCCACTCCAAACGCCATAACAGCCAGCAGCTGGAACTTGGGTGGCATCATGATCCTCAGGAGCCCCATCAAAGTATCGGATGATTATCTACATGTCATGCCGTAAAATGTGAATGAGAAATTGGGATCAATCCGTTACTGGAGCAGTAAATATCGACTCCCTACAGATGATCTCGATTATGCGCAGAGAACAGAGTAAAGTTAAGGATGTAGTAACCGAACACATTAGTGCAAGCAAGGGCATTTCAGACGCTCATCTGTTTGCAGATGGTAGTATTCTGTTAAAACTCGGGACGCTTGACTCTTGGTTTTAGTTGCACATCAGTGCAGCTCCGATCGCCCACTGCTCTCCTGCGTCACTCAACACAGGGATTGTATTCCTCCGCGGACTGAAATGAGGCGAGTGGAACAGGACGGTGCTTAAAGCGCCATCTATCGGGTTGGAGATTGACATGAGCCAAGTCTTTCCCATTGCTTGTCTCAGTGAAAGACTTGGCTAAGGAATATTACAGTTTTTCTGAATTGCTAAAACACATTTCTTGAAACCATCACTCATTTTCTCAAAACCTTAAACACAAATCCAAATACTCAAACTTGATTCATGAAACCTCTGACTCTTCCATCAATATCAAACAATCTCTGCAAAACCATTTGCACTCAAAATCAAACAGTGCTCTCAGATCACACACACATGAAAACTCCAAATGAATAGCATGTTACAGTACACTCAAATACTGTTAAGTTGTGCAATTGTAAAATCAGGGTCAGGGAGAGTTTCATTCTGTCTCAGCATCATGTCTTTGTGCTTGAGTCCGGCCTGAGGACTTTCTTGTTTCCATCTATTGTTCGTATCATCATTCAGTCACCTGTGCCACTTGTGCACTCTGAACTGGCTCATATTTTGCACAGTTGGTTTGATCACATCATTAGCAACAAGTGTGAACAATTTCGAATCTTTGTGTGTAAACGATGACAACTGTGCTTTATAGTTCTGTTTAACTTTTGCCGCTTGTGTTTAGCATTTTGCAGCACAAATGCATCACAGTGTGATAAGTGTTTGAGCGAATGAGAATGTGTTTAGAGTTTTGCAAAAAGAGTGCATGGGATTGCAAATAGAGCCTAACTGCCTGAACGTGTTTAAGGTTTAGCAGAAAGAGTGCTTTATTCGACAAATTGGTTTAAGCTAGTGAGAATTTGGTTCAGAGATTGGGGTTTAGTGTTTTAGCAATTCAGAAAAACTGTATTATCAAAAGTAACTTATAGATCAACAGAGTTCAGTGAATCTATCAAGTTCATTGGACCATCATTTCATAATCTGAAGGCGCATTCAGTGCACCATTAAAGTGCTTGGCATCCTTTGTGTCTTAGATCAATGTAAGAAGATAACAAAGAGAGCCAGTATGTCTCAGACAGACCGACCAGTAGACACAAAGAAGACGTTTGTCACAGCTTCTTTACTATATATATACAGTATATATATATATATATATATCTTTTTGTGAAACTCTATGTGCTGCCGTCTTGACCATGTCTCCCTGGAAGAAGAGATTGTGATGTTTCAGTGGGATTCTCCTGGCTAAATAAAGGTTAAATAAAATTTAGCACACTGGTTGATAAAAACAGCACAGAACAAAAACAAGGTTTTCTTTGGTAACATTTCTATCAACCTACTGTAGACTGTTTGCAGTTTTTTTTTTTTTTTCAAATATAATTGTAGTGCATTTGAATGTCTCATTATAAAGAATTACTTCTACAGCAGTGGAGAAAAATCCTATTTAAATTTTAAAGGTTTAATTAACTTCACAACACAGCGAGCATACAAAAATAATCAGTGAAGGGTGAAACCTCCTCTTATAAAAGTAAATAAATAGAAAAAAACATGAACTGCTTATATGAATTTGTTGATTAATTGCCTTTTAAAAAAAAGATTGCACACTGAGGTGTTTTAGACAAGTCTGTTCTGCCAATAGTATCTTCAGTAGTCTTTCCCTATGCAGCCAATACAATACAAAGTCAATACGTTCTCAAGAGATTATCTGTGATTTACGGCTTGCTGTCATGTTGTAATTTTAAGCTGCAATGTAACTGATTTAAAGTACTATCTGCTATTTTTTATATTTTCTTCTCTTGTGAGTTCAATTATATTGTCCCTCATTCACTATGGGAAATGACATGTCTGCAGTAAAATGAGCAGTTAAAAGGCATTACTCATGGAGCAAGGAGTAAAACTATAAGGCATAAAGGAGGCAACCTTAAAAGGATTACAACACTAATCAGCAGTAAAGCAGTGAAAATACTCGTATTAGCAGCTAATTAACAATGCATTAATCATGCCCAGACATCCATTATTAACCTCTTGTACTATTACTCAAAACTAATAATTAATAATACATGCTTTGGTCTAAATGCTGATTTATTAATAGCAGAGAGAGAGAGAGAGAGAGAGAGATCTGAAGTTCAGTGTGGCTTTTTCTATTAAAATTGATTTACATAACTAAGAGAGAGCCTGTGGGAAATATGGAGTTTATTTTATATTGATTCCGTAAGTGATGGAATGACAATGACCTCAAATTCATACATTACTAATGTAAGCAGGATATATGATTTGTTTGTTTTTTTCAGCCAACAGTTATCACAAATATCTGAATCTTTGTTTTGTGGACAGAATTCACGAGTTGTAAATATGACAGTCAGTCACAGCTCGAGAAAACAAGCATTCATATATTGTACTAAAAATCTAGTTATAACCAGTAACTGATATAAAGCCCCTTGACTTCCCCAGTATATTTGACTCTGTGGTCATAGAAAATAGAATTCCAATCTGATGGATTGTTGTGAAAAGGAGGTACTAGTACTGACAGTAAGACTGGTAGGGCTGTGTGAGAACAGAGTTGGGCGACAGAGAGTCACTTCAGGCAAGTCAAGCACCTCATTAAACAGACAGTGAAGGATGAACTTGCTCCTCAGAAGTGGCCGAAGCCGTCAGGCAGAGAGCATGAATGATATTTAAACATCCCTTAAAGAGAATCTGTAAAATGCACAGACATTTACTGATGATTGTCAAGCTAAATAGATTTAGAAGACGTACATATTGAGAGATGTTTTCCTTTGTCCATTCTTGCATATTAATTAATTGTTTTGCATCTTGTAACTGTTTCACTAACCTATTGTTTTAAAACCATTAAACTGACTGTATAGTATATTTTAAATACCATCAGATTCCATATTTTGGGAAAGCATGCTAAGACTTGACATTATGAAACAGAAATCATTCTAATTTTAAAGAAATGTATTTGTATATATTTTTCTATTTGTAATATATTTTCTATTTGTACATATATTTACAAAAATATTTATGCATTTATTTATTTACCTAGTTTTGTTTTGTTGGTCACTGAGGGCAAAATACTGCTTTCCTCATCATAATATAATTATTATTTTCAAAACAGAAGTGTATTTAAATACTTTAGTATGTTATAATACTGAAATTGATATATATTTTTTTACATAGAAATATAGGGTTAAATATATATTGAAACAACATTTGTGTCCACGTGTTATCTGTCAACTTCCCATCATCAGGAAAACTTGCCACCATCCCAGACGTGTACTAAGTTGTGGCGCCATCATGTGTTCAGTTACATTGTTGTATGGCATTGTTGGATGACATTGTTTCCATACTATCGTTTTTGTAAGTTTAATAAAGTAACTGCATGTGAGACGAGATCGTAAAATATTACATATGGCACACGTATAGATTGGTATGCTTGTGTGTTATTTGATAAAAGACCCATTCAAAAAAGTTTTAAAGTTCAAAAGTTTTACAAATCAATCGTTTGATTTTGTTTACAATTTATTTCTATAAAGGACGCTAATCTGCTTGTATAAAGGACGCTAAACATACACAAATGATCCACAGTTTTCCTGAAAACTGCCTCTTCTCTTCTAATCTTTAGTTGTGGCACCAGAGGTCATGAGTCAGTAGTCACCATGGCAACAAGAAACGCTTCTCTGTTAGCCCCGCCCATCAGCAACACTTGCCAGCTGTTAACTTCTCCTTTCAGTTTGCAGCTTGAAGCTGTCATCACGAATTGCTCCAATTTTCTTCTTTTAACTTATATATTTTTGTACCTTTTGTAATCAAGAAAAAGGTAAGTGTCTGAAATCTCATTAACTATTAGGTAGGCTACTGTGTGTGTACTACTATGTGTGTACAGTGTTATCGGCGTTGTCAACCGTTGATCGCAGAAATAACAGTTTACGTAGGTTACTTTATAATGTAATATATATTACCGCTGTACTGTTATTAACAAGGCTACAGATGGGTCAGTGACGACAGCAATCTTTTAAAAATGAGGTTTATATCACGTCTCAAATTAGAAATGTGTGTGTTACTTATTACAACGTTTAAACCATTTTTAGATTCAAGATTTAATGACTCTAAATAAGTTAAGTGGAGCAAAAAGCTACTAATATACTTTGTTTGCACACACTGCTACACGTGTACACACAAACATATTATGCATCATATTATTCAATATGTTTTTCATTAATATCATGCTTTTTGCGTATCTTGACGAAGTTTTCTTGGGATTATGTTTGACCTGCACACAACATTCCTTTTCATTAAAAAGTTCAAAATATATGAGAGTCATGAGTGTTTAAAGCAGTCCTCTTTGTTTTTGTTTGTTTGTTTGTTTTAATCACATGACAATAACCTGCATCTCGCATATTGGTTATACCCACTGATCTATAATAGTTCATTATTATTAATATATATATATATATATAAGTGGTTATACCACACTGACAATGATCTGATTAATAATATTTCCTAACCAAAATACTTTATGGCTTATTTCTAAGTAAGGAAGGAAGGAAGTAAATAGTAAGAAACAATGATACTTTAATTCCTAATATTAAGAGGAGTGGATGTTGATGTTGGCAGGCCTTAATTTGGTCATTTATTCAATCAATCATTAAGACCCTGAGAAAACATTTATATTACTGATGCATGTAATTTGCCTGGTAAGCTGTTTAGATCGTGCAGTCAGATTTACAGGCTTGACTGGTTGTCTAGAAACATGGGAAGTGAAATACTATTAGCCAGTAGTGTGACTGGTTTAGTTTGAGTTGCAGAGAGACGGTTTACTGTTGTTATGTCAACTAAAAGACATTAAACTCAGTACAGACCCCATGGCACTGATTCATACCAGTGCAAGATGAACCCTTACCATGTGCATTTTCAGGTAAAAATATTTGTATCTGTGTGCTTGACTGTTATTAAGAAAATTGCTCTTTAAGAAATATGAGATCTCTTTCATATTCAACACTCATTTAATAGATTTATATTTGGTTCTGTTTTATTTACATTTACATTTAGACATTTAGCAGACGCTTTTATCCAAAGCGACTTACAAATGAGGACAATAGAAGCAATCAAAACTAACAAAAGAGCAACAATATGTAAGTGCATATGACAAGTCTCGGTTAGCCTACCGCAGTACACGTAGCGAGGTATTTTATATATATATATATATATATAGACACACACACACACACACACACACAC